GTGTGTGTGTGTGTGTGTGTGTGTGTGTGTGTGTGTGTGTGTGTGTGTGTGTGTGTGTGTGTGTGTGTGTGTGTGTGTGTGTGTGTGTCTGTGTGTATGTCTGTGTGTTTACACACACACACACACACATATATACGTATAAGTTGACAACCACACACACGCACGTTCGTTTCATCGTCATAAAGAGCACTTTGCTTCCCGCGCCAGGAGACTTAACCCCCTCCCTCTCCTCCAACCAACGCAGGTGATGCAGAGATACAATTTGAATTACAACTACGGTGACATGGACAGCAAGATGCAGCTTTCCCTGAAGCCCGCAAAGCCCCTGAGGTTTTCATTCACGGAGCGACGCCCTTAGGAGAGAAGAAGGCACAACGAAGAGAACATGTAAATAATAGTAGGGATAATAAAAGAGTAATAGTTATAGAATGTGTATGTAACATAAGAATCAATATGCTCACGTTAATGCGCTCTGTCTCATAATTGTTCTGCATGAACGTGAACATATCGATGCTCATGCTATAGATGAAAGTTTAGATTAACATAACAACTAATAAACGTAATTACAGCAAAATAGTCTGAGAATACCTCCCGACGCGTAAACCTTCCTTTAGTCAGTGATTACAACAAAGACTACTACTATTCATATCAATACTGTCATGACTACTATTATTAGAGCTTTTTGTCTAGATTTTGCGGTGTCGTTATTTTCTTTCTTTTTTTAGGATCAAACGTCGGCGCTGTCTGTTCTAGTTTCCCGATTTTATGTAAAACGAAGTCGGACATAAGGTACAGTAAAACAAAAAAACAAATGCCAATCCTGTACACATTAAAGAAAACCGTCAGTTAACAAATATTTGCGGAATAAGTTTGTACAATCGGCATTATTGCATTTTGAGATCATTGTAGTCTTGTTGATTGAAAACACCAGCGTGTCTGAGAGTACTTCGAACGTCACTCATCACTTCAAAAACCTTTATAATCAACTTTGATTTTTCTTATAATATTTGCACTCTTTATGATATTTTTTTTCACTTATTTAAGAGCGGATATTGTTCTACAGCTAAACTGTATAAACTATTAAGAAATGTATATGCCTAACTATATATGTAAAAATAAGAAATGTAAAATTACGATGATCTTCAGAGTTCCACTGATCAATGAGCAACTTTGTTTCAAACGTTTATAGCTAAAATGCCATTGCATACACACGCACACTTACTGGCCTATGTGTGCTAATCTGATGCGGGGGGTCCACATTGTATAAGGCAGTGTAAAACATTCACATTTATTTATTCTCATATTAAAGGTAAATTGATAAAGGGATAAAGGGATAAGGCTAATGTTAAGGTAGCCAATCAGATATGGATAATATTGTTAATAAATTTATGTAAAAAATGGCATTCCTTATTGTTTTTTTTTTGTTTGTTTTTTTACAAATCCCTTTAATTTACATTGTTTGTTTGAAGAGGCCATTGCCTGCGTGTTATTTGACTGGACTCTGCTATTAAAGAAAAAGTGTAATATCATGGTTCCTTCGCTCTAATCGTGCATTTGAGCGAGTCCATTTACCTCGTGGATTTGCAGACTTGTGTGAATCTTACCGAATTTTAATGACAAAGTAGGTAAAAAGAGAGAAGGAGAAACCGTAGTGATCACAGAATAGGTACTAGGAATGAGAGGGGACAAATGCTAGACGATTTTGCGAAGGCTGGATCACTCAATATCATGAATACATTCTTCGAAAAAAACTAGATAGGAAGTGGACATGGAAGTCGCCATCGGACATCAAAAACGAAATTGACTTCATCATTTCAAATAGGCGCGATATAGTAAAAAGAAAAAAAAATGGAGGTTATTAATAAAGTAAATGTTGGCATACGAAAACCACAGCTAAACTGAACTAACTTGAAGACCAGAGCGACAGAATTTAGCCTCAATATCCAAAACAGATATTCACTACTCATCGACGATCTCAACATTGACCAAATCAGCAAACAGGTCAATGGCATAATAAAGGAAGCTGCACTTGAAGTAGGCGGTAAGAACAAGAAAGCTCCAGCAAGCTCTCCGTAGAAACTAAACAGTGTGTGCAAAATACGTAGGGTTATGAAAGTAGCGTCAAACAGGGACAAGATAGAATTAACTGAACTAACAAAGAATATAAATAAAAAAAGAGAGATGTACGGAAACTCAATACTCAAACAATAAATGAAACAGTGACCTCAGGTACCAACATGTTACCTGAGGAATAGGGAGAAATCAAATGTGTGCAGTAAAGAAACTAGACGGTGAAGTGACATATAGCAAGAATGAAACCATAACAGTAATGTAAGACTTTTACAGGGATCTATACAACTCAAATGTACAGACACGGATAGAAACAAACGCAGTGTCTAGACGTACCTAACATCACAACAGAAGAAATATAAATAGCGCTTAATTAACAAATGCTATCTCGACGGAAAAAAAATCCGAAAGCCTGGAAAGACGTAACTAT